AGGCCTATTCGAGGACCGGGCCCGCGGGGACCCTAAAACCCCGAAATCATCTCAAGATAACCTCATTATAAGATCAGCATACTATGTACATCATAGTATGTGCATCAAGATGTACACATTTGCATACGTGTAAAGCATTCACGTATATACATTCCCATATGCTGAAGATCTTGTGAAAAATCTTATAAAATCCTGTGATGAGCAGGCGATGAGTCACAATAACGTGGCTGAAGTATGTTGAGCAGACCACACACTAGAAGTTGAAGGGACGATTCGGCCGATGAGGATTCGAACCTACGCACTGGGGTATTCCCAGATGCCCGTTCTAGACAACCACATCACAACATGGTCAGAACAATTGCATCCTAGAGGCACTTATGCACGCTTACCTGCGCTACGAAACATGCATCGAAAGTCGAGACACAATCGACTTGAGAATGGCCCAGGACGGACCGAAACGTCGTCGTCCCTTCAATTTCTAGTGTGTGGTCTGGTCAACGAAACACGCATCATTTCCATAACTCGTAAGATATTCAACTCCAAAATATAAGGAAAAAGTCTTGGGTTCGATACCCAAGACTTTCCCTAGGTGTTGCCAAATGTTTATAGCCTATTATAGCAGTTCATCTAACTGACTCTATTATCACACGCCCTCAAAGTTCACTTTGCCTTTAGCGCGAGATTCTCTGGCTATATGAGTTATCTTGAGGTTATCTTGAGATGATTTCGGGGCTTTTAGTGTCCCCGCGGCCCGGTCCTCGACCAGGCCTCCACCCCCAGGAAGCAGCCCGTGATAGCTGACTAACACCCAGGTACTTATTTAGTGCTAGGTATCAGGGGCATAGGGTGAAAGAAACTCTGCCCATTGTTTCTCACCGGCGCCTGGGATCGAACCCAAGACCACAGGATCACAAGCCCAGTGTGCTGTCCGCTCGGCCGACCGGCTCCCCAGTGCGAGTCCGCGCTATTTTGAAATATGTAGCACAGTACATATTTCCGTTGTAGCTTGGCTACCAGCATGAAGAGCGCATGTCCGCATGGCCATGAGGCTAAACAGACAGCTACTTAAACAGCGGAGATACACTAAGAAGAACGCACAAGACACAGAGAAGAAGAATAAGGTGAGAAATAAGACATAACGAGAATCAGCAGTTTAGGGAATAACGGTCCCAAGCACTGACAATGATTGACGGGGCACCAAGAATAGAAGATTGGAGTTGGAAGTGTGGGATAGAGATAGAAGAATAGGGATGGAAATGTGGAATAGAGATAGAAGAGAGGGTCATACGAACAAGCAGAGAGAACTGTAAACATAGGGGAAGGGCCAGCCAATAAATGGCGAATGAAAGATGACTAGAGAGAGAGAGAGAGAGAGAGAGAGAGAGAGAGAGAGAGAGAGAGAGGGAGGGAGGGAGAGAGAGAGAGAGGGGCTCATACTGGGTTTTCATTTAGTAACACTAACATGGGGGGACAGGCTTCCAGCACCTGCTGCCACACCTGCTGCTACACCCCCTGCTGCCACACACCTGCTGCCACACCCCCTGCTGCCTATCATCGGGGGTGAGGCCCCTATTTACATCTAAGCAAGAGCGGATACTTTCCAGAGCAAAATTCCCATCTTCAGTGATGAAAGAAAACTACGACAAGGGGAGACTGCAGAATTTTAGAAGGAGACTTGTTTACAAAGGGGCGACTTAGGGAGAGACTTACGAAAGGAGTGTAGAGGAAATTGGTAGAAAAAAGGGGTGAAAGAGAGATAGGAAAGTAGGCACTACACATTAGGGGTGAGATGGAAGGGGGTAATATAGACGGAATACATAGAGTTTAGGTAAGGAAATATGGGATATAGATCATATTTAACACATGTATGTGTGAGACAGACAAGTGTAGGAAATATATATATATATCTATGCTCATAATAGTCAATGTCTGTCTATCACCCATCTGTCCATCTATTTATTTATATATCTGTCTATTTCTCCATCATTCTGTCTATCTGTTTCTCCATTTATTCATCTATTTATCCATCAATTCCATTCTGCTTTGTAAGGGTCAATGTCGTGTAACGAATTAATCGTACCCTGTGGGCCTGACGGCTGAGTGGACAGCGTTCGTGATTCATAGTCCTAAGATTCCGGGTTCGATCCCCGGCGGAGACGAAAACAAATGAGTTTCTTTCACCCTAATGCCCTCCCTGTTTAGCAGTAAATGGGTACCTGGGAGTTAGACAGCTGCTACGGGCTGCTTCCTGGGGGTGGAGGCCTGGTCGAGGACCGGGCCGCGGGGGACCCTAAACCCCGAAATCACCTCAAGATAACCTCAGAATGATGATGGTTAGGTTAGGTTAGGTTAGGTTGATGTGGAGAATGTAAGGGGGCTTGGGCCGTTCTGGGACGGAGGTGGTGTTGTTGTTGGGTAATGGGGGGGGAGGGGAGGACCTAGTAGGGTAAGGGGAAGGTAAGGGGGAGGGGAAGGGGGGAGAGAGGGAGAAGGTAGACCCAAGAAGTCCACCCCGAGATCACAGTCTTGCTCCGACAGGCGAGAAGGAAGGTCGTGTCTCTCTCTCTCTCTCTCAGAGCATCGTTAACCCCGAGAACTGACGATATATCGCGCGTATAACCGCTAGATCATATACCCGGGTATATTACATCCTATACGCCCTGACCCTACGCAGGTTGGTTTAAGCTGCCTGCTATATATATACGCACTCTTATGACGCAAGTCTTCCGAGCCGCTTAGGCAATGACAAGTTAGCTACGCATTCTAAGGAATGTTTTGGGATAGAGTCATTGACTTAAAGGTGCTTGTAGGCACCTTGTTGTGTGAGTGCGTTTATAACGCACTTATGCGTTGGAGTGCGTTTATAATTTGTTGTGTGGAGTGCGTTTATAACGCACTTATGCGTTGAAGTGCGTTCATAATGTGTTCTGTGAAGTGCGTTCATAACCTAAAGTGTGGAGTGAGTTCAAAACGCACTTATCATGCTGAGTGCGTTCATAGACTGTTGTGTGAAGTGCGTTCATAACTTGTGTGGAGTGCGTTCATAACTTGTGTGGAGTGCGTTCATAACTTGTGTGGAGTGCGTTCATAACTTGTGTGGAGTGCGTTCATAACTTGTGTGGAGTGCGTTCATAACTTGTGTGGAGTGCGTTTATAACTTGTTGTGGAGTGCGTTTATAACTTGTGTGGAGTGCGTTCATAACTTGTGTGGAGTGCGTTCATAACTTGTGTGGAGTGCGTTCATAACTTGTGTGAAGTGCGTTCATTACTTGCGTGGAGTGCGTTCATAACTTGTTGTGTGTAGAGTGCGTTCATAACTTGTTGTGTGTAGAGTGCGTTCATAACTTGTTGTGTGTAGAGTGCGTTCATAACTTGTGTGGAGTGCGTTCATAACTTGTTGTGTGTAGAGTGCGTTCATAATGTGTTGTGTGGAGTGCGTTCATAATGTGTTGTGTGGAGTGCGTTCATAACTTGTTGTGTGTAGAGTGCGTTCATAAGGTGTTGTGTGGAGTGCGTTCATAATGTGTTGTGTGGAGTGCGTTCATAACTTGTGTGGAGTGCGTTCATAACTTGTGTGGAGTGCGTTCATAACTTGTTGTGTGTAGAGTGCGTTCATAAGGTGTTGTGTGGAGTGCGTTCATAAGGTGTTGTGTGGAGTGCGTTCATAACTTGTTGTGTGGAGTGCGTTCATAATGTGTTGTGTGGAGTGCGTTCATAATGTGTTGTGTGGAGTGCGTTCATAAATTGTTGTGTGGAGTGCGTTCATAACTTGTTGTGTGGAGTGCGTTCATAAGGTGTTGTGTGGAGTGCGTTCATAATGTGTTGTGTGGAGTGCGTTCATAATGTGTTGTGTGGAGTGCGTTCATAATGTGTTGTGTGGAGTGCGTTCATAACTTGTTGTGTGGAGTGCGTTCATAATGTGTTGTGTGGAGTGCGTTCATAATGTGTTGTGTGGAGTGCGTTCATAATGTGTTGTGTGGAGTGCGTTCATAAGGTGTTGTGTGGAGTGCGTTCATAATGTGTTGTGTGGAGTGCGTTCATAAGGTGTTGTGTGGAGTGCGTTCATAAGGTGTTGTGTGGAGTGCGTTCATAACTTGTGTGGAGTGCGTTCATAAAGTGTTGTGTGGAGTGCGTTCATAAGGTGTTGTGTGGAGTGCGTTCATAAGGTGTTGTGTGGAGTGCGTTCATAAGGTGTTGTGTGGAGTGCGTTCATAAGGTGTTGTGTGGAGTGCGTTCATAACTTGTTGTGTGGAGTGCGTTCATAATGTGTTGTGTGGAGTGCGTTCATAAGGTGTGCGTTCATAATGTGTGTGGAGTGCGTTCATAAAGTGTTGTGTGGAGTGCGTTCATAATGTGTTGTGTGGAGTGCGTTCATAAGGTGTTGTGTGGAGTGCGTTCATAACTTGTTGTGTGGAGTGCGTTCATAATGTGTTGTGTGGAGTGCGTTCATAAGGTGTTGTGTGGAGTGCGTTCATAACTTATTGTGTGGAGTGCGTTCATAACACACTTGTTTGGAGTGCGTTCAAAACACACTTGTGTGGAGTGCGTTCATAACACACTTGTGTGGAGTGCGTTCGTAACACACTTGTGTGGAGTGCGTTCATAACACACTTGTGTGGAGTGCGTTCATAACACACTTCTGTGGAGTGCGTTCATAACACACTTGTGTGGAGTGCGTTCATAAGTTGTTGTGTAGAGTGCGTTCATAACACACTTGTGTGGAGTGCGTTCATAAGTTGTTGTGTGGAGTGCGTTCATAAGGTGTTGTGTGGAGTGCGTTCATAAGGTGTTGTGTGGAGTGCGTTCATAAGTTGTTGTGTGGAGTGCGTTCATAAGTTGTTGTGTGGAGTGCGTTCATAAGGTGTTGTGTAGAGTGCGTACATAACACACTTGTGTGGAGTGCGTTCATAAGTTGTTGTGTGGAGTGCGTTCATAAGTTGTTGTGTGGAGTGCGTTCATAAGGTGTTGTGTAGAGTGCGTTCATAACACACTTGTGTGGAGTGCGTTCATAAGGTGTTGTGTGGAGTGCGTTCATAAGGTGTTGTGTGGAATGCGTTCATAAGGTGTTGTGTGGAGTGCGTTCATAATGTGTTGTGTGGAGTGCGTTCATAATGTGTTGTGTGGAGTGCGTTCATAATGTGTTGTGTGGAGTGCGTTCATAATGTGTTGTGTGGAGTGCGTTCATAATGTGTTGTGTGGAGTGCGTTCATAATGTGTTGTGTGGAGTGCGTTCATAACTTGTTGTGTGGAGTGCGTTCATAATGTGTTGTGTGGAGTGCGTTCATAATGTGTTGTGTGGAGTGCGTTCATAAGGTGTTGTGTGGAGTGCGTTCATAATGTGTTGTGTGGAGTGCGTTCATAACTTGTTGTGTGGAGTGCGTTCATAACTTGTGTGGAGTGCGTTCATAATGTGTTGTGTGGAGTGCGTTCATAAGGTGTTGTGTGGAGTGCGTTCATAAAGTGTTGTGTGGAGTGCGTTCATAAGGTGTTGTGTGGAGTGCGTTCATAAGGTGTTGTGTGGAGTGCGTTCATAATGTGTTGTGTGGAGTGCGTTCATAATGTGTTGTGTGGAGTGCGTTCATAATGTGTTGTGTGGAGTGCGTTCATAACTTGTTGTGTGGAGTGCGTTCATAACTTGTTGTGTGGAGTGCGTTCATAACTTGTTGTGTGGAGTGCGTTCATAATGTGTTGTGTGGAGTGCGTTCATAATGTGTTGTGTGGAGTGCGTTCATAATGTGTTGTGTGGAGTGCGTTCATAATGTGTTGTGTGGAGTGCGTTCATAAGGTGTTGTGTGGAGTGCGTTCATAAGGTGTTGTGTGGAGTGCGTTCATAAGGTGTTGTGTGGAGTGCGTTCATAAGGTGTTGTGTGGAGTGCGTTCATAAAGTGTTGTGTGGAGTGTGTTCATAAGGTGTTGTGTAGAGTGCGTTCATAACACACTTGTGTGGAGTGCGTTCATAACACACTTGTTTGGAGTGCGTTCAAAACACACTTGTGTGGAGTGCGTTCATAACACACTTGTGTGGAGTGCGTTCGTAACACACTTGTGTGGAGTGCGTTCATAACACACTTGTGTGGAGTGCGTTCATAAGTTGTTGTGTGGAGTGCGTTCATAAGGTGTTGTGTGGAGTGCGTTCATAAGGTGTTGTGTGGAGTGCGTTCATAAGGTGTTGTGTGGAGTGCGTTCATAAGGTGTTGTGTGGAGTGCGTTCATAATGTGTTGTGTGGAGTGCGTTCATAATGTGTTGTGTGGAGTGCGTTCATAATGTGTTGTGTGGAGTGCGTTCATAATGTGTTGTGTGGAGTGCGTTCATAACTTATTTTGTGGAGTGCGTTCATAAGGTGTTGTGTGGAGTGCGTTCATAACTTATTTTGTGGAGTGCGTTCATAACTTATTTTGTGGAGTGCGTTCATAAGGTGTTGTGTGGAGTGCGTTCATAATGTGTTGTGTGGAGTGCGTTCATAACTTATTTTGTGGAGTGCGTTCATAATGTGTTGTGTGGAGTGCGTTCATAACTTATTTTGTGGAGTGCGTTCATAAGGTGTTGTGTGGAGTGCGTTCATAACTTATTTTGTGGAGTGCGTTCATAAGGTGTTGTGTGGAGTGCGTTCATAAGGTGTTGTGTGGAGTGCGTTCATAATGTGTTGTGTGGAGTGCGTTAATAACTTATTTTGTGGAGTGCGTTCATAAGGTGTTGTGTGGAGTGCGTTCATAACTTATTTTCTGGAGTGCGTTCATAAGGTGTTGTGTGGAGTGCGTTCATAACTTATTTTGTGGAGTGCGTTCATAAGTTGTGTGGAGTGCGTTCATAACTTATTTTGTGGAGTGCGTTCATAAGGTGTTGTGAGGAGTGCGTTCATAACACACTTGTGTGGAGTGCGTTCATAACACACTTGTGAGGAGTGCGTTCATAAAACACTTGTGTGGAGTGCGTTCATAAGGTGTTGTGAGGAGTGCGTTCATAGCTTGAGGCGTGCGTTCATAAAACACTTTTGAGGAGTGCGTTCATAACACACTTGTGTGGAGTGCGTTCATAACACACTTGTGAGGAGTGCGTTCATAAAACACTTGTGTGGAGTGCGTTCATAACTTATTTTGTGGAGTGCGTTCATAAGGTGTTGTGAGGAGTGCGTTCATAGCTTGAGGAGTGCGTTCATAAAACACTTGTGAGGACTGCGTTCATAAAACACTTGTGTGGAGTGCGTTCATAAGGTGTTGTGAGGAGTGCGTTCATAGCTTGAGGAGTGCGTTCATAACACACTTGTGTGGAGTGCATTCATAACACACTTGTGTGGAGTGCGTTCATAACACACTTGTGTGGAGTGCGTTCATAACACACTTGTGTGGAGTGCGTTCATAACACACTTGTGTGGAGTGCGTTCATAACACACTTGTGTGGAGTGCGTTCATAACACACTTGTGTGGAGTGCGTTCATAACACACTTGTGTGGAGTGCGTTCATAACACACTTGTGTGGAGTGCGTTCATAACACTTGTGTGGAGTGCGTTCATAACACACTTACGGGGAGTGCGTTCATAACACACTTGTGTGGAGTGCGTTTATAAAGATGAAGAATTAAATAATATATATATATATATATATATATATATATATATATATATATATATATATATATATATATATATATATATATATATATATATATATATATG